CTGTTGCACATAAATTGTTTAATACATAGGTGCACATTAAAGTTATTGTAGCCCGAATTTTTATTATTTATTTAATATTTTTAAAAATATTATTAATAACAATTAAATATTTTTAAAAATCTACTACTTATTTTAATTTGTAATTCAATACTTTTGTTTTGTACAACTTGGTAAAAATCTGACAGTAATATTTAATGTTCCTTCAAACATAAGAGTCCTACATAAAATTTTGATAAAGTTGCGGCCCGCCATTTGATTTGTGTTTTTAATTGTGGCCCCCGACCTCATATAAGTTGGAAATCCCTGTATTAAATGAATAAAAAATAATTTTCCAAATGCATTTATTAATTTATGTATTTGATACCTACCAATTACTTTATTAGTTTGTTAGTTATCATTGGTGATTATGAACCTAAATCCATTGCATCAAATTTTAATAGATTGTTTTCCATACAATCTTTTTAATTTTCTTTCTCAATTATTAGGTTCAAAGCAATAGGTAAATTGAATGGTAGCCATCAAGCAGCAATTATGTGTTTAGCTGTGGACAATGAAGGGCGTGATAAAAATGTTGTAGTGACTGGCTCAAAAGACCATTACATTAAGGCAAGTCAAATCAAAAATTTTATTACATTGTCAAATAAACTTTGTACAACTATGCATGTATTTGAAATAATCATTTGATTTTTTTATGTTAAATATACATCCTCTAAAATATTTACTTTGATTTTTTTTATTTATTTTATGTAACAAATCTAACAATGCGTACTATATATATATATATATATACAGTATGGAACCGATTATCCGAAACGATCGGGACCATCGCTATTCCGGATAACTGATTTTTCCGGTTTTCTGAATCGCTACAAAAAGCCGTTTTTTTATTGTTAAACCCAACTAAGAATAAACAAATATTTAGAAATAATCTTAAAAAGAAGAAAAAACGATGAAGTAATACACTAATGATTATTTCTAAAATGATGGTAAATGGTAAATGATGGTAATTCAAAAAAGAAGGAAAAATCCTAAAATCTTATGAGGAAAAGAATTTTTTGTTTTAAAAAATAGCGGGAAAATTTCTTGAATTTCGTTCCGGTTTTCTGATTTCCAGATAACGGGTTCTGTACTGTATATATAAAAATGGTATAATAATAAAATTTACATAATAAGTTAGCAGGCCACTAAGTACTGGTGAACACACCCAAATTGCGAGTTGTTAATTTAATTTTAAATAATTGGAAGTCAAAGAATTTTTTAAAAAAAAGTTAGCAATTATTCTATTGTTCTTAACAAAGTTAATAAATTATAATATTCTTTTTCTATAATTATGATAATTAATTTTTGTGTTTTAGGTGTTTGAAGTGAGTGAAGGAGCTGGTGGAGTGATTTCATCTAAAACTAATCTTAAACCTCCACATTATGATGGGATACAAACACTTGCTATTAATGATAATGTTCTGTACTCTGGCTCCAGGGATATGTGTATTAAGAAATGGAATCTGAAGAATGGCAACCATATTCAGGTTGGTTTTATTCTTTACATGTCAGTTAAAATGCTGGATTAAATCTTTCACTTTCTCTTTTTAAATATTTTTTATGTGTAACTATATTTTTTATGTATTTTTTAATTGTAACCTTTTGAGATATTTCCTAATTATTTCAAATGCGAAAATCCTAAATTTGAACAAATAGTGCTTGAGTCACAAAAACTGTAAAAAAATTACAGTGTTTAAATTTCATTTTACAGAAACTACTTTGATTTTATTTGCGTTTTGTCATTTAAAATTACTTGGTTTAACTTAATTTACAAATCTGCATACTTTGCAATTCAAAATTTTTTCTACTATAAATAATGAATAAATGTATATTGAAATTTATTTTTTGAATAAACAAGCTTTATATCTGTGTAAAGTGTTTTCAATTTGCCTAATAAATTTTTGAGATATAGAGAAATATACGAAAAGAGGAATCAACATTAAGGAGCCTAAACATTCAAACTCTCTTTTTATTGAACTATTGGAACATATTTTCTCCTGATCATGATTCCCTTTCTTATATTTTGATAATCAAGAATCCAAGTATGATTTCGTGTCTGATTTTATAAGTATTGGAAATATGATTGATAATCATGTCAAAAAGCTGAATCAATGCTCTTTATTTATCTCAGATTGATAATCATGTCATAAAACCGAATCAATGCTCTTTATTTATCTCAGATTAATTCACGGAATGAGTACATAAAAGATAGATGTCTGTTTTTATTGGGAGTTTAACAAATTGTGCTCATGAGATAATGTTTTCTTCACGGGAGCAATTACTACTCTATTCTTCACCTATTTGTAAAATAATTTATTCAACATGCTCAGTTGCTGGTAATAAGTCGATGTCGCCGAATCTCTACGTTTAAAAAGCCAAGACTTAGCCATGCTTAAAAGATTAGACTTAGCTTTTTCTCTCTCCTACTGCAAGGGACTTTATGTGTAACTGTTTAGAATATACCTTCTCTTTTTCATTTAATCATCTGTAAATACTCTCACATGTCACAGTTGTTGAATAAATTTATATTTCTGGAGCTGCATGTTTTTTTCTTGAGTGTTCTCCCACTATGCTAACATCTAGTCCGCTGTCTATTTGTCTGAGGATGCTGTCAGGGGTAAAAAGAGGGCTTGTACCAGTGTCCATCAATAAGTTTAGTAATAGTTGGAATTCGTACGTGCTGGGAATATCGGGAGTGCCGGAAATTGGAAAATAAGGGAAAACAAGAATCGGAAAATAAGTCGGGGGAGCGAAATTTCACCCCTAAACCGAGAATCGTCAGGGAATTTGATTCCATATGAAATTGCGGGATTAGAGTCTTCTGTTCTCAACTGTAATTTGCACTTGCGGAATAGAAGATTTTAAAAATATATTAGATTTTTTTTCTAGGCCGACCATTATTAAGGATATCCTCAACATTCCTCTGAAGAATTTCTAGAGTGCTATCAAGTCTGAGCTCTGAACTTGAAATTTCTACCTTGAGTGTATTGACATGATAGTTTTTTCTTTACTCTACTTTTGTTTCTCAATTTTTGTTGATTCTTGATTTATTATGACAAATTATTGTTTTATAATTTCTGATCATGCATTAATTATTAAAGAAAAGATATTTTTTGATTGAATGAATTTTGATTCCTCAGAGCTTACCATATCATTTACCTGATTGTGATGTCTGATATGAAATCACATCTGCTTTTGTTAAAAGTCGTCTACTCTTATAATTAAAAGCAGAAGATAGTTTATACTAAAAGCAGACTATTATTTTATGAAGCAGATTGCAGCTTTCTCTTTTTATAAGTGATATATTTCTGATTCCCTTTTTTTTTTCCTTCTGTGCCCAATAAATTTCATACTCAATAAATTAGTTTTCATATTCATGAGTTTCAGGATAAAGATTTTTTTAAAATTCAGTTGATCTTATTATTTCCTACCTAGTCCAGGTCCTAGTTCTTTTAATTATCATTTCTGTTTGGTAATTTTTTGGTGTTTTTATTTAATTTGAGAAGTTTTCCTTATACTTTATCATCTTCTTTTCTTTATAACTAAGAATGAAATATATTGTTTTTTTTTAATCTTTAATTTTGTTTTATATTAGTTAATTTAATAATTTTAAGAAATCTTTAGTTTATTATAATTTGGCTGGACTTCAGTTAAATGATTAATATCAATTGACTTATGTATGTGTTAGTTTCTTTTTGTGATCGTTTGGTATTTATCATTAAATAAGTTGGATTTTTTTTTAGATATTTTTTTTATTAATTTTGTGGTTTTACCATCGTAATTTATATTTTCTATTTATCCATCCTATTTATGGTTTATATTTTTAAATAGAAAATCTTAACATGATGCATTTTTATCTATATTTTTTTTACTTAGTTATTTTCTCTTCTATTCTTTAAAACTTTCGTCAGTTGATTAAATATTATTTAATTTAAGCTAAATACAGATTATTTGTATTTTTTTTATTTAGTTTTCTTTTATTATTTCTTTTAGGATGACTTGTTAAAAACCTGTTTTTTTTTTTATTGATTAGCAATTTCTTTCATTTTTCACCTTCTTGCAACTTTGTTTTATATTTTAGAAAAAATTATTTATTTTTTGAGTGTCTGTAGATAAAAAGTGTAATTTTTTACTTATTTATTCTGTTTGACTTAATTTAATAAATTAAATATAGATTAATTTTATTTAAATATGGATTGTTTATGTATTTGTTAGTTTCTTTAATAATTGGTGTTAAAAATATGTTGTTTTTTTTATTAAAAATTAGTATTGCTCAATTTTGGTAATCTTATTGCTACTTATCTTTCGCTTAACTAATTTTTAATAGATGCTAACTTATTGGGTTTTAATTGTTTATTACGTTTTTGTTTTCAAAAATTTTCTTGCTTTGTTTAAGATTTTACTTCAATTATATATAGGTTATTTAGATATTTTTATTTTTTTTCAACAATTTCTGACTGATAATTTTTTTTCCATCTGAATATTGCCTAATAAATTCCCTTAGTCTTATTTTTCCCTTCAGTCATGTTTATAGTTCTGAAAAATTATTATTTCTAATCTGAATTGATATTTTTTAAATCATCTGATTTTATTAAATAAAAATTGTTTATTAATGCTTTCCTAGAGTTGCAATTTTATTTATAATTTTAAATTACATTTTCATTAAGTATAACTTTAGTTGGATTTTTAAAAGAAAAAAAAATTCTGGAATTTTGCGTAAATATACCTGGAAAAAGTTTCTTGTTTTTTAGTTTGAACCCTGAATAGGTAGCACCAATTAATGAAGATAAGATATTTTTGCTAAATCTTTCAAACCTTTGAAATTAGCACAGAGTTTGTGAAAATGCTATTATTAAAGCAAAAGTCTTCTAGGGTGTTTCCTTTTATTTTTTTTTTAAACTTATTGTTTATACAATAACCACTTTTCATTTACAAACCTACAGTAATGCATATTTGTCTATTTGTTTGTTATGTACATAAGTTACTTATATCTTTATTAATGGTTGAATAAACAATTTAAATTTCTAGTCTTTAAACCAAGCTCATAAGGATTGGATTTGTTCCCTGAGTTTTCTCTCTGGCAATAATACTCGCTATCTGTTAAGTGGTTGTAGAGGAGGTTTTTTGAAAATTTGGACAACCGATGCCACACAACTAAAAGGAGAAATGAAAGCACATAGTGCTCCCATCAACAATATTTCAACCAACAGCAGTTGCACTTTTACTGCCTCCAGGTTTGTTCTATTTTTTAGCTGTCCACTATGGAAAATCTAGTGTTTACCATATCTGTGTATTTGTGTTAATTATAAAGTTTTATAATTTCAAATATCCTCTTGTGTAAGGATTCTTTTCTCAATTTCTTTAATAAATTTAATAACATAGCAGGGTTGCCTCCAGCAACTGAAATGACTAAAGGAAAGGGGGCTATTTTTGCTACAATCTAGGCAAAAAAAAACTTTAAAAAAAAATTCTTACTTTTTTATCATTTAACTAATAAAATGAAGGGGAAAAAATCCTCTTTTTCTCTTTCTTTCTTTTGCATCGTTTTGCTACTATAAGGAGGGTCATCTTGGTTTATTTTTTCCTTCTGCAAATGAAGATATTATAAGTGATTGATTTAATAGTCTGCCTAAAAGTTACTAAACGGTTTATGTATGTCATAGGTGTTGATAGAAGATGTTGGGAAAAGCAGATGTTCTAACAGGGCCTAGATATATAGGGGATCCTAATAGTAGTCCCTGTAGCAAGATAAAAGGTCAATGATTACTAATTAGGACTTCTATAATATCCATCTTACAAGATCACCCCTTTCTCGGAATATACTCGTCTATTAGTTTGGGGTTTCAAATTGAATTTTTTTGAATATTTCATTTAAGTTTTATATTTAATGTATAAAGAGAAAAAACAGTTCTTAAAAGTTCTCTCTTTTTAATGTATTTTTTTAGGAAACTGAAATATTTCTATTTTCTAAATTCCTAAATCTAAATTGCCTTATTGAAATAACTCATTGAATATAATTATAAAACTGAGAACAATTATTAGTTTTCATCATATGAAAAATAAAGTGCAAAATAAAGCATTTGATGTAATTTTACGGCCAGTTTTTAAAATGAAGAAAACTGTGAACAATGTTTAACTTATTTTGTTCATTGGGCAGATCTTATTACATAATACAAAAACAGTAAAATTATATTTCCTATAAAAAAAAAGTTCTTACTCAAATTTGAAAAAAAGTATTTGCTTAGTTTTGTAAACAACGTATACAAGACTAATACAGATTCGAAAAAAGTCATTTGTTTAAATTGTAATTATAGCTACATTAATATATAATTAAAAAGAAACATGTTTTATAATTTAAAACACGTTTTTTTTAAATTTCTCTTATTTAAATGTCATAAATGGCCATTTTTACTGATATATTTGCGTAAGCTTTCTGAAGTGAAACATAAGTTAACAGACGCTTTGAATTCTTAAGTGAAATAAAAAGTTAAATGGTTCTAAAGTGTGTTTGTGTTTTCCAAGTGAAACATGTTATAATTATAAAAAAAAAAAACTTTTTAATTTTCAATTCTTATAAATATAATTTTTTTACTTGTCTTGCTTAAAAGTGTCATGGAATTTCAATGTTACAATGAATAATTAAAGCAATTTATGTACTTAAGTAACATTTACTTAATAATTATGTACTTAAATCTGTTACATAATGCACAGTCATACATAACTTTATAAAAATGAATTTAAAGTTTATATCAGCACGCTGATATAGTGGCTTTCATTTCAATGCATCGTTACTCTGATTTAGTTGCTAACACAAGAAAACGCATGGAATATACGGATTTAACTTTCGGAGATCCTACGCTGCCACTGTTACCTGTTTGTTTTGAAGACTAAGTTCGATTTCACTGAGTTACGATGCTCATTTCATAATTTGTGGAGGAATTTTTATATTAATAGTGTTGAATACTTTTACTGATTTCCATAGTTTCTTAGAAATCGCCTACTATTGAGAGTCTGCGGTTCAATGACAGTTTGTTGAAAGCTATATATCATGTTTAATTTTTCACCTTTTGATTTTTTATTGCGTACCATGCTTAATTTCTTGTAGATTTTTTTCATATCAAATTTGATTTAACAAAGCAATTCTTTACTTTTATAAAAATTCGGTGTGTGAAAGATTGATTTTGGAAAAAATGGCAATGACACAACATTTTATCTGCATTAATATATACGTAAAAATACCATTTAATATCACACTCCTTAACCCAGTAGCAGATTTTACAGAATGAATCTGCCATACCATCTTCAAAAATCCTAGATTTGTCTGTGGCTACAATAAAGAGAAATTATTATTGTAAAAATTCAGCTTTATCTATTATTAAAAATAATTGTGCTTAACATTTGAAAATATGACCTCCTAATAAATTTTACATAAAAACTCTGTTGTTAATATTTAAGTTTAACTTTATGCAAAAATGCTAAAAAAGATGGAATAAATCCCTCCTATACAGTTAAACTTGTAATTAAGTAACTGAAAAAAGAAATTATGCTTTTGTTCCTTACTGTTTTATCTCAACTCAGCCTTTCATTTTTTTTTATAAACAGGCTTAAAAATAATTTTAAAAAAAACTTAAATTAAAAATAATTTGCAAATGCTTTAATGTTTTACACCGCTCACTAGCGTGATGGAGGATTTCTGCTTCTTAGGTTAAAAATGCATTAATGTATGGTGGTACAGGGCTGCCATTTTTGATATACAACATAAAATTGGTCAAATATTTTTTAGCAATGAGTTAATGTATTTACAGTATTTTAGTTTTTATTATAATGGCCTCATGTTATAACTCACATCTTCACCTGTTTCGTGTGGGTCCTTATATCGTACGGCGACTGTATGCAGGGTTCGCCAAGTGGGCCCACTTTGAAAAAACCCGCCCGGATTTTATTGGGTGGGCCCACCTTGAAAAAACCAACTTGGTGGGTTTTTTCACAAATTGCTTTTTTGAAATTTGGTTGAACAAGAAGTATATACTATCACTGGACACATCATGGAAGTTACAAATATTTCAGAAATGTGCATCAAGCACGTGGATGGGCTAATGAAAAAACTGCTTTATACCCCAATTACCAAAAGTTCATATTGTGACCGTGTTAACATTTATACCAATAATTACCATAAATATCAAGAGATTGCTCTTGAACATCAAAATGAAGAATATAATAATATGTCAAAAATATTAAATAATTTTGGGCTTTACCAATAAACTATCAATTAGGAAAAACAGATATCAATTGTTTCTGAAGCTTTAAAAAAGCTTCAATCAGAAAATATTTCAATTTCAGAAGCTGTTGAAATATGAATTAACTTACTATCGTGTGATTAATTAGAACCCCATAAGCATTTTGTAAAAAGATTCCCTCAGGCTGTTCAACCACCTCTTTAATTAGCATATGTATCCTGGATCCCGAAACAAGGTGACAATTTTTAAATGATGAACAAGAGCAATTAGCAAAAAACTATCTTTCTAAGCATCATCCAGAATTTCTGCCAGTTGTTATGGCATTCGAATTTTCCGATCCTGAATGCTTTCCAAAATCAATGATGTTTTGACACTGTTATTCAACAGTTTTCATAAAAAATAGTGGAAAATTATGGCAAAAAAAAAATTCCAAGCTTCCACAAAATTTCTGCCAATTCTTTTTTCTTTACACTTAGCACCCTCTGTCTCTATCGAAAGACACTTTTTAACTTTCGGTTTGGTGTGGAGTAAACTACGAAATAAATTAGGAATATATAAAGCTACAAAACTCGTAAAAGTGTATCATCTAAGAGAGAAATGTAGACACTCTGCTGTATGATAATAATAATAATAAATAAAAAAATTGACTCTTTTTTAAAGTTAACTCTTAACATCTGCTGACAATTTTTAACTATTTGGAGAATTATCACCATTAAAAACAGATAAAAATTAAAATATTACTTTTAAGATTTTTTAAATATTATTTTTAAGATTTCATTTGAATATAATTTATTTTGTTTCTTTTAATCATGTTTAAAAAAGTTGAAAACAAACAAAAAAAATAAATTTTCTATTAAGTGATACATTAAACAATTAATGAATTAAAAGTTTTATTTTCTTGTTTTAAAAAAATAAGCTAAAACTTTTTATGCATGCTTTTTTATAATTTCAAGATTAATTTGTTTTTAGAAATTATAAAAGTAAAATTTATCTAAGAGTGCAGTCTTTTTTCTAAGGTTAAAAACTTGAAAAATGGGACAGGTAACTGATACTCCTTATAATTATACGTAATTTTAATTTCACTTTCTATTAATCGTATTATAAAAACATGGAAGACCATTAAATATTTATTCCAGTTTAATTTTATTACAGGTAAAAGTCAGATGAAATTTTAGTGTTTACTTATACAACTNTAACTAGTTAAAGTGTCAAATTAATAACATATTACACACTTTAACGGACACGATCAGTTATTTTATGGAATAACCAGGTATTCCATGAAATAACTGCATTATATACTTTAACGGTAACACACACACACACACACATATATATATATTATAGTGCTTCAGTTAAAAATTGTGAAACGTTGTGTTTTTAACAATAAAGATTCAATCATGTATTAGTGATAGTGCATTATTTAAGCTTATTTTAATTTTATTATATATATTTTACATAAATTTTTTGGATTTATTTCTATTTTTAAGCTTATACGACACTATTTAATAAATAAAAATATTTTCACAGTAAAATTTTAAAGTTCATAAGCACTAAATGAAAAAATCCAATTTTCCCCGGGGTTTTTCAAATAAAACCCAATTCCCCCCGGGTTTTTTAAATAAAACTCGGGCGGGTTGGGGTTTTTCAAAAATCTTCGGGTTTTTTCAAACCCTGACTGTATGGTTCTCATATTTTATATTTTGCCTGGAAAAATGGCATGCCTTTTGTTAAATGCATAGGTATTCTGCAAAATGCTGCCATTTCATACATTGCATATAAGATATGTATGATCGGCCTACTTGATGGCAATCTTTCATTTTTTAAGAATTACACGGTATTTCATATATTGCTTATAACAAGTCTCACTATGATTTTTTTTTAATATTGCCTGAAGAACATATGAATTTTTTACACTGCATAGCTATTATATGGAATGCTAAGCATCTTATTAAATGCTTAGCCATTCTATTGGATGCCAGTAATATTTTTAATATTTATTTCAGTGATTGTACCATTGGAATATGGAGGTTGAGAAACAACAATGATCTCTCACCGGATAATAGTAATGAATTTCCTGATGTATGAAGAAAGACCCGTTCCAATCAAACATACCAAAGATGTTCTTCCGTTTTTGATTCTTAAAAAAAAATTAGACGGCTTTGAAATCTGTGATTAATAAGAATTCAATAGTTCAGTGAACTTTATTTAAATTTGAGTATTTCAAAAATGCATTTATATCAAATATTAATATATGGCTTATTAGGCCTAGGCTATTTTGAATTATCTTAAGTATCCGGTGATTGGTTGATATGTAATCCATCAATATTCATGCACTCAACAGTATTCTGATTTTGATATGTTATTGAGTTAGTAATTTTTATTGTTAGTAATGCCAGATCACTGTGTGTTTTTAACTCCTTTTATCAATTTGTGTTTTATACACAATTTTATCCATATGTATATTTCGGTAATTTTAGTTTAGACAATTATTGCTTGCTTTTTGTTCAGCATTTTGGTGGTTTTTAATATTTATTTGTAAATACTTTAAAATGCATTTCATTGACAGGTATTTTCATTGAAATATGTAAGCGTATAATATCTGACTCAGCCAATTCAACCTTAATGTACTAGTAATGTATAAATTTAGAAGATATTTTTTGTCATAAAATTTCATCTCAATTTCATGCAACAAGTTGTAGATTTGTTTCACATATTTCTGTTACGCAGAATTCAGCATTGCATATTTATCACCATATTAAAAGCTTTATTACGAGGCCTATATAAAAATCTCTAAAATCAAATTTCTGTCTCAAACGTCCTAGTAAGTAATTTTGCATTTACTTGTTAAATTACATCATCACCTGTTAAATGCAAAGGTTTTTAAAATTATTTGTACATTATTTAATGTTGTTTAAACTTAGAATTTTTTGAAAGATATGTTTCTCTCCTAGTACCTTACATAAGGATACATAAATAGTCTACTTTGAATTTAAAGTTATATGCCCAGTATAAATTCATTTCATTCTTAATTTACAATTTCTTAAAATTATCCAAATTAGTAACTTTATTTTATACTAACATTAATACCAAATAAGCTTTGGACTATAATAAATAAATTTTTTTACCAAGTTAAATTTATTTTCTGCCCTTCACATTTTTTATGTATAAATTGGTCTTGCATTTATAAAAAAAAAAGCAGGAGTATTTAAATTGTAAAATTTTCAAATAAGTTCATAAAAAAAATAATAAAATGTGTTAGACAATTATATCACACTAAATATTCATCTTGTAATGTATCATAGCTTTTCTATCATTCTCACAATGCATATGTAATGAGTTAAAATGAAATCCAGAAAATAGATTGAATATAGAGTGAAGTTGATGATATTAAAAATATTTGCAAATAATGCATAAATTTTCTGTAAAATGCTTAAAAATGTTAGATGAAAAAATATGCTTGAGACTTTATTGAAATCTTAAATTGAATAATATGTAATTATATTATTTAAGAAAATTTCATATTGTTCCTTAAAATATTTTTACTTTGATATTACCTATGTTGTCTATGTGCAACAACTTGTTTCTTAAAGTCTTGCTACACAGTTTATGTGTTGAATTAAACATAAAAAAAATTGCCTTAAAAGTAATGTCAAAAAAGCAAATATCATCAACATTCAAACTCTAATAATGAACGTTCTCAAAACTTATGGTTTTTGTTCTCACTTCAAGATAAAAGTATAGACAAAAAGCTCTTGTTAGTTTTTTTGTTGTAGAAAATAGTAGTTTTTTATTAGTGTAAAAATTTTTTTGCATTTCTTTATAATTAATTTATTTTCAAATAAAAAATACTTCTGTTTTTACAAAAATCAATGAGCTTATTGCAAATTTGCTAGCCTTTTTTTTAATTAGATATCAATTCTAGGTCACTCCAAACACAACCAAAATATTGTCTGAGTTTTGAAATTGCATTTCTCTCCCCCCCCCCTTATTTCTTACTCGTGGATATACATTTTTATTTTCCAACTGTTAACCAGTGGATGATTGTTCAGTGTTATTTTTTTTATAGTGTGCCTCAATGATTTTCCTGGTTTTACGAATTGACTGTGATATTTTTGTATATTCTTTTTCTTTGTTCTAATGCTATTGTCCATTCCATAATAAAAAGTCAATATTTTGTTGCATTTCTTGAAAAATATATGTAAAAATAAAAGTTGCCCTTTTTCTACTGGATGAGTTGCAAATAACTTCAATTTAATTTGTTTGGTGCAATATTCATATTAGGTTTTTTTTCTTCTTTTTTTTCTTTCTAAAAAATATATGTTTTAGGGATAAAAATTAAGAAAATTTAGTCATAGTCTTGAAAGACCAGCAACTAAAGCATTTTACTAGTCCATGCACATTTTTAGTGGTCCATTCATAGACTAATAGACTTTTTATAAAAGGTTAAAAATATAATAATCATTTAAATGAAATATGTGTAGTATTTAAAATTATGATAAAATGCAGAGCAACTATTTTATGACAAACTAAAAATGAAAAATTGGCACACGCTTTACAGTTGAATGGTTACTAGTCTGAGAGACCTCTGAATATTATTTTATAGTAGTCTGAGTCAGATTTTCATAGTCTCTGTTAAATGGATCACTGTTGATTTCGAACTCTATTTCTAACGCAATATTTGACAAAAGTGATAAAATAGTTGCAAAAGAAAGAAGGAAAAACTATTACTTAATCCATCACTATCTATTAAAATCTTATTCCTTCATTTCTAGAATCCTTTCAATATTTTTGTTCCTCTTTCAGTTTATGCTCTGCAAAATTATTAATACATTTAAAGCAATTTTTTTATGAATTGAAGGTATTTGTAACAAAATCCATTTCGAAATCTATAAATATGCTTGCTTATCACTATTCCAGCATCTTTTAGTACAGATTAGTCTACTTTAGCTACTTTCATTTTTTCCCATGCAAACGACTCTACTTTCATTTTCTTTTTATTTAGTTACAGATGTTGCTTTTATTTGGTCTATTTAGGCTACTTGACTTCAGTTGCTTTTATTTTACTTTAATGCTGATACAGCAAAATACTGTAAATTTATTAAATGCATCCATGAATTAAATTGCTCTATTTAGTTTTAATTATTGTTGATAAAATAATACCTTTGATTGAAGTTATGTAGTTTTTTCTTATCAATTTTATTGTAAAATTATTAACTATAAGGTGTGCATTTTATATTTTTTGTTTTATTCCATTTTTACTTCAAATTACTCCTTAACTAGATCTGTTCTGTAAGAAAGCAATTTTGGTTAAAAATACTCATAAAATGTGTTCTTTGAATTCCTACTGTATATATACTAGTTATATTTAAAAGATTTTGTAACGTTGGTTGTATTTTAATGTTAGATGAGAGTCTTGTGGAATGCCAGTATCAAGTATGATGTTATTCGAATGTTAAGTAATTGAGCTGTGTTTGTGACAATCTGGTATGTTTTATAACTCATTCCATTTCTGTGTAAATATATTCCTATAGGGGCTGTAGATAAATAAATTTCTTTTCCATTTTATTTTCATTGTATTTTCTTCAATATTTGTTACTTAACAAAACACAGTTTTAAACTGCATTTATACTTTTTAAATTTAAGGTACTCAAAAATTTAGTTGAATCAAGCTAATAATCATAATAAAACTAAGAATTTATCAATTAGAATACTGGTAAAAAAAAAAAAAGTTTTTACTGTCGAAACTTGTTTTATAAACCTCACCCTTTCTGAGCATTGCTTGTTCAGGGTTGCCACAGGATACTAAAATGCAACTATTTGCTACTATTTTCGGCCTTAGGCGACTATGGTGACTTTTTTTGCCTGAAAAGGCAAAAAAAGCAACTATTTTCAGGAATAGGCGACTATTAGGAGATTGTTTTTACTCTTGGCGAAGTTTTTTCGCGAAAATGAATGTTACTTTTCAGAACATTAATAAAAGAAAGCAAACTTTTATACAATCATTTATGTCCAAAGAGCCAAAAATTTAAATTTCCATTGGATTTAATAAAGTACTTGTTATATGCTCTCTCTGAGGGGGGCAGTTTTGTTATTTTTATTTGTTTTTTCCTTCTATTAACATTCATATTTTATTGTAATTCGACTTTTATTTAGGTACCTATTTTCTAATATGTATACCTTTTTGTATTTGTACAAATTTTTTTTAATTGGAGCATAGTTAGGACTAGGCGATAAATCGATGTATCACGAAATATCGATTTAACGCATATATAAGTCGGCCGATGTAGTGACTTTCGTTTTAGGCGATGCATCAGAAATCTGATTTAAGCCGCCGGAATTAGATTACATTCGCGGTTCAACGATTTAACATGCAAGGATCCTTGTCTTGGCTAACGCTGTTACCGCACTAACGAAGACGATTTTGATTTCGTCTAGCTGCAGAGATTTTACTTTTAAGATGATAGTTTTGTGATGTTGAATGACGAAGAGTGAATTGAATCAGAACTCCCGGTTTCAGCGTTGTAATATAGAACACAATGCATAGTTTCTTTATTTCCATTTTTGTCTTTGGGATTTTGCGTTTTTTGAAGATTATTTTCAATGGGACTTAAGTCATTTTGCGATCGTTGTGCATTTTATTTCGTCTGAAATAATTGACAGGTTTCTTGTAAATTATTTTCAGTGAGACTTTTGCAGCGATCGTTTCGTTCTGCATTATTTCATACTATTTTTTTTCTGTCTGGGTTTGACGATTCTTGTCAATTATGTTTAGTAGACCTACTGTTACTCTNAGACCTACTGTTACTTTGCGATTGCTGCACAATCGCTGTTATCTTAAATTTTCGTTATGAACTCAATAGATCAAATCATTGATTTTTTTCAATTATTGTTTTTTATTTTAAGTGATAAAATTTAATAGGGGTATTTTGTATTTAACTTTGTTATAAAAAGTTAGTTTTTTTAAATTTATTAAATATAGTTAAGTATAATAATTTGATTGTTTTTCAACTAATAAATGCTCAGTCGTTTTTAATTATAAAAAAAATTAAATCAAAGCTTACCTTTATTTAATTTGCTTTCATTTTTGAGAAAATGAAAACAAAGTTTTAAAAAAATTTGGCTATTAGTTAAAACAAATTTTTTTTAAAATTAAATATAAAGTTTAATAATGTTTTGACGTTTTTAATAATTTAACGTTAGTACTTAAAGCATTTTTTAAAAATTTTTATTAAAATTCTTTCAATACTTGTTTGTTTTATAATTTGTTCGATAGTCAGTATCATTTTTAAACAAATAAATCTTTAGTCGATTTTATTTTCAAAGATGAAAATAATAATAAATAAGTAAAAATATTTTTACATTTATTAAGTACAGAATTTGACCATTAGTTAATACTACTTTTTATTATTTTAAATCAATAAATAAAAAAGGGTCTAATGATTTTTCAAAAGCATGTTTTTTTTCAACAAATAATAAATAAAAAATTTTCTAAAGTGAACATTTCTTTGGTTTGTTTTCCACTTATGTTTTTTTTCTTTTAATTTTTAATGCATGTACGTAAAATAATTTGTTACTGTATTATTATTTTTAAACCAATAAATCTTAAATCATTTTTAATTTAAGAAAAATGAAATGAAGCTTGGGTTTGCTTTTACTTTGACTTCTTTATTAATTTAATTGAAAAAATTTAAGCAATGATATTGATGTCATTGTAGAATATGTTTAGAATTAATATTTTCTTTTGTACTAGATTTATTCCTTTTTTATTTATTTTTGATTGAGTTAAAGATTTGCGATACATCACTATATCGTGATGTCTAACTGACGATGTATCACAATTTAAAATTTCTGACATCACCCAGTCCTAATAATAGTATTTGACAATTAAGCTATAATTTTAGTTATTTGGCTACTATTTTTGATAATTTTTGTTCCTGTTCAGGCAACTATTCTCATGCTTGAGGCTACTAAAAGCAACTATTTTTGTTCATTTTTTACTGTGGCAACCCTGCTTGTTGCATAACCCTAACCCATTGGCTGTGAACATGAAAAAATGCAAGAGTAGCCGTGAAAGAAAAGGCTTTACTCATTTTTTTTCCTAAGTAATCACCATTGCTGTCAAATTACTTGTGTGAACATAGTACAAATAATTCAATTCTTATGTCATACTTTTCCAAAAAGATGTCACATTTCATGTCTTCATCATTATTATAGTAGTTACAGGGTTTATACGCCTCAGGGAATTAAAATTTATCTGAAAAAGTCGGGGGGAAATGAAAATTCTTCACAAAAATGGGTGGGGAAGAGAATTTTTTATCCAAAGACAGTATAAACCATAGTTTGCCACTCAAAAATTTCTTTAATACAGGGAACAAATGAAAATCGCTATGCATTAAACCATTGGGCATTAATTTTGCTTTCATTTCGCAACGATTTGGTGGCCATCCCTAATTTCTCAAACAAGAAGCGACATTCCAGCTCAAATCTTTGGCAATATAGCATCAGAATTAATCTTCCTGCATCCTCTTTGTCTAAACTATAATTATCTGACTTAGGCTTGAGCACATTTGGTAAGTATTTGAAGACCACCACTATGATTAAACCTAGAAAAATGCTGGATTAATTTTATAATGTCAGTCTGGCTGGCAAGCACCCAGCAGTGCGGACACCATTGGTCCAAAAATAAAAGCACCTTAATACTCGATGGATAGACATTTTACTCACATTATTAGCCAGAAGGTGTTAATAAAATTTGTCAGAGGACTAGGCAATATTAAAGACAGGCATAACAGTTATACAGCAGGAAGGCCTGCAGCTTCTCTTCACATTTATTAAAAACATATCAAATGCAAGACAAATACAATTTTAAACATTTAAGCAATAAATAATAATCAGTCACAAACAGAAAAGTTCCACTTAGCTTTAGATTTGACAATCCCTAATAGCTGGTTTCAAGCAACAGCCGCATAAGAGCGCTATGGTTGATGAATAATACGTGACATGATATACTTACCTATTCTCTTCTCGCCAGCTGACACACAAGGCCTCATATCTTTTTTCCAGTTCTGAGGTAGTTCTCTTGCTCCTTTCCATCCATTTAGTTTTGCCTTGTACAGAGTGAGCAAAAAAAAGATCACTCTGTATAACTTTCGTTCTAATGATCAGATTTTCACGTACTAAGTGTCAATTTTAATGGTTCCTGGGGGTGACCTTAAATATGCTAATTATGTAATGCTAACTATTAATTAAGTTACGAAATCGGACACAAAAACGTACTTTCTCTGAATAAACATATAATTTTTTTTAACATATTTGGATTTTTAACCTTCAAAATATGGTCCCCACAGTTTGAAAAGGGGAGCGATCCTAAGTTCGAAGTCCTTAATGTTAATTTCGCTTTTTGCATTTAAAATTTTTAAAACTAAGCAATTCAAAAATAAATTGCACCAACTCATAAAATCCGTTTATCCAAGGACAATTTCATGAAAAAATAATTTTTAATAATTATTATTTTATTTAATTGTGGATGAAAAAATTTTGAATTATGAAGTATAAATTTTTTTATACCATATTAATTGGTATATATTAGTATTGGTATACCATATAATATACGTATTTACCATATAATATACGTATTTTTCTATTACAAAATCTAAAGTTTCAACAGTTTTTATTTAGACAGTTTTTATGAAGTAGAGAAAAATTAAAATTTATTATTTAAAAAAAAATAATAAATGGGGGAGAAATAATTAAATGGGGCGATTAATATTTAAATGTAGATAACTTACGAGAGATTTGACTTACGTGTGCGTAGCGTAAAATTTCATTCATAATTTTTTCGCAAATAACCGATTGTTAATCCTTTTTATTTAAACTATAAAGTAAGATGTTTCTTTTTTAGTTGTCTAAAAATTTATGCGTAATTTAATAAAGAGATGGGAATAAAAAAACCATTTTATTCAACGAAAGTCAAGTTTTAAAAAGGCATGTTTCTGATAGAATGTGATTATACTTCAACTTTTTTTAATTTTATTTTTTAGTTTGTTCTTTCAATAATTGATACAGTTTCAATAATATACAAACGTATGCATAGATTTTGAATAATATATATTTATCAATATATATTTTATAATTATTAATACGAATTTGTAGTCAACATTTTTATGCATCTTAAAATTTCTCAACATCTTACACAGTATTGTCTTAATCTTAAAACAAAATTTTGTAATTACCTGTACACGCGTGTTTTGTAGAATTATTTTACCAACTAGTTAATTAGCTTTTAACATTTCTCAAAATCTTATTCTTTACGTTACAACGTATATTATTTTTCTATTAATATACTAATCAATTATTTTAGTACTTTAATTTCGGTTTTCTTTTAAAGTAAAATTCCTTTTTAGGTTATTGTCAAGTTTTTATTAAAAGAAAACTTAGATATATTGCCAGCTAGCTGAAAATTAAATTTTGTTAAGAAATTAAAAATATTCTGGTTTTTCTATAAGTGTATCTTAATACTTCAGTTTTATGATAATTCCCTTCATACTTATGCATAATGTATTAGTTTATCAGGCTATCCTAAAAAATTGTGATTTGATTTTCTAGTATTCTAACAGTCAGAGATTTGCTACTTGCAAATCTCAAGTCATCTACAGAAAAATTTGGAAATTTTGGGAGGAAATAGTTATAAGCTGTCATATAAATTTAAAAGAAATTTTTCTTTTTTTAAAAAACCTTAACTTTTCCCCTGGTTTAAATTTTAAAAAAACTGTCCGTATAATTTAAAACACCTTCTAGTAATTATGAGCAAAGCTTCAAGTAATTACTTCAGGCAGGTCGTTTAAAAAGTTGAATGTAATTTCAATTATTAAAATAGCACATTAAAAATTTGATAAGTGAATTTGTTTTAATCTGATTGGCGTAGTAACCTCAATTTTCTTTCAAAAAGTAATCAATACTCTATAAGCATTTCTTTTTTAATGCAAGTTTTAAGAATAAATGCTAAGCAATTCAATAAAAGCTTTCTAAAACTATGCATTTCTTTTACGAAAGTAAGCGTATTGAAATTTCTGAGGTTAGTAATTGAAAGAAACTTTACCCTTGCAAGGGTATATTTTTATTTTCAATGAATTAAAGACATCATATATTTTAGAGCCATCACATAGAAAAACGCCATTAAGAACTTTTCTAAAGTCTAATATTTGTCTTGTGTTTCATAGCAACTGTAAACTTTTAACCAAATATAAATGCCCTCTATTCAATATTTAAAATCAATTATTAGTCTGAAAGTATAGTAATAATCACCACCTACTTTGAAAACAGTCATTCATCTATAAAGAAAAAGAATGAATGCAGAAAGCTTTGGCTTTTAGACGTTGAACATAAAAAGAAGAAAAAAAAGAACATATTTTTGAGAGGCGGAAATTAACGCATTAAACTCCCCTCACGTATTTAATCAAACGGTGTAAATTAGGATAAACTTTGTTACTTTGTCGCCAATAAGAATGCTATTATATTTAAAATAATGGATTCTGACTTAAATATTTTTCTCCATGAAATACAAACATAATAATTTACCATGACCAGATTAAGACGATTTCAGAAAAATGTTGTAAATGATCTACAGAAGACGGGAAAAAGGTGAGCAATAAAAATTTAAAACAAGCAATTTTACTATCGGTTAATAATTCACGTAGTTGAATTTCAAATTTGAAGTAATAAAAATAAATCTTTTATTTTCGTACTTCTGTAACCAACTCAGAAGACAATGATTAAGTTAGAAGATAAAATTAAGTTTGATGAAACTTTTTAAATAAATTCTTATGTACGTGGCAGTGAAACGCTAAAAGAACAATTAAAATGTTGTTTAAATTTAGCCCAGTGTAGCTGTTATCGGGTTTGTAGCCATTACACTCTTGTATTCTATCTAATTCGATAAGAATGCCATTAGCAGAAATCGAACTTGTAATTAAAAATAACAAAATAATTTACTTTTCTGTTAAAAAAAATATTTTTCATGCAGGAAACTTATTTTTTGTCTTAATGAATGCAATCTAAACACATTTCAATGAAAATAATACCACATTTTATAAAATTTCTATCCTTGGCCTAAAATGGGTTAATATTAACAAACAATTTGCAAAGCTTTTCCAACTTTAACGGAAACTCTGCACTCTGTATAGAAAACGTATCTCTGTATTCAATACGCATAACGTGAAAAAAAAAGAAAAAATATTTTGAATTTCGTCAAAAAAAAATTTTTTTTAACAACTTTGTCGCTATTATCTGGTACCTTAACACTAGACCGACAGAAGTGGTCATTTCAATCGCAAATCAATTTTCAGAGGCGCTTATTCCTAAAATAACAATACCAAATTACTTACCTTTTTCAACTTTTAAGGGTTCTAAAAAGCATTGAAGAAAAATTTTATTAGGTTACATAATAAATGTATAAAATGGAGTTCGACCTAGAATGACCATAGTAGTTGTAATTGACCGCAATATAGATTTAAACATGCTTCTTGGAAATAACACACTCTGTCCCTTTCATTACTTATATTTATTTTAATGGTTCCCGTGCCTGAGTACATCAACATTCTACGAGTTTTTTTCCCCTTCACGATAGTGATCCTTTTTCTGTTCGCTATCGCTCACTAGACCCTGAAATTACCAATGCAGTTCATTTCAGATCTCTTTGCGATACGAACTCGGAAATCGGATTAGAGGCCACAAATTTGCAATTCTTTGGAGCATTGATAAAATTTTGTACAAAATTCTAGTATTTGTTTAATATCAGTCCATAACCTTATAATAATTGATGAACAGCTTTTGCTTTGTAACACACGCTGCAAATTTATTCAATACGTAGAAATAATTTTGATAAATTTGGATTGAAATTCTATCTGGTTTTGGAACACGAGATTAAATAATATTTGATTGGTTTTATGCAACTAGAAAATGATAAAGATAGTGACAGGGTGTCAGCACCAAGATGAACATGTCGTTATCGTAGTGAAACTACTGAGTCTGTATCACTGTAAGGGAAGACATGTCCGGCTGAGATATTTTTTATGGCAAAAGGAGTTTGACTTGTTGCTATAATGTGGTTAAATCACAAAGAACTCACAATAATTTCACAACTACAATAAAACGCTCTTGTAATCTGTTTTAGAAAGAATAAAATAAAAAAGAAGAAAAAAAAAAGAATTACTATAAATCGATATAAACCAAAAAAAAAAAAGCTTTATGAGTACCATAATTGATAACCTGAAAATCACATTCTCCTTCATCACCTTCTTTGAATTACCCTCCTTGAATCACTTTCTTTATCAATCTCACCAATTCATCAAATAAGACAATTATGCACGACACAAACAGCCTCTAGAAAATTGCCGAATTTGTAATTTTAAAACGTCCTATGCATTGGAACAATAAATTTATAATTTTTTTTTTAAACCTTTAAACCTTCTGCTTATTTTTCTAAAGTCTTTTTAACTTAATCGACGAATTAAGACTGTCATACTGATTAGCCAATTAGCAAACCTGTATGCTTTTTCAAACTTCAAGTAATAAATGTTCTTCCTATTAAAACACAACAGAATTAAATGTTCGTCATGCCTAATACTAAGTTGTGGAAAATGTTATGATGTTTAAAATGTTATAAAACTGTTTCACGACGCTGTTATTCTTTCTGAAAATAAGAGTAATTTTTTTTAAATAAGAAATGTTGTTTAAAAACTCCAGAATGTTAAAATTTATAAAAACGACATATTTGAACTTTTTATGGGGATATTTAAGTAAAAAAACAAATACTTAGTAACGATTTCTTATTGCGATTAAAACACCAGAAAAAGGTTATTCTAGGTAGGTGGGTAAAAATGTCTGTTGTTCTACTTGTAGTTTGCTTGTAAAGTCGGAAATACGCTGCTTCATATTTTTTTTCTTTTGCTTGGTTTAATTTTTTTCAAAAATTTTAATAAGTGGCTAACAGTTTTTTTTTCTTCTTATGTATTTCAGAAAGAAAAAAGGAAAGCAGACCACAGATAAAATGAAAATGATAAAATGCTTTTTAAGAGGCATTTCTGCAGCTGGTATCAAACACGTCGTATCAGAAAAAAACTCTAAGAAACGTATTTTTTGGATGCTATCAGTTACCCTCATTGGAATATGTATGATTCTCATGTCCTATAGAGTACTTCTTGAATACTTTAATTATCCCAAAGCACTGCAAACAACGGTACGCAGTATATTTATTTGAAAACAATTCCTGTCCGAACTTCTCGGAAACTAGAATAAAAAACAATTTTAAGTTCACACACATTTTAGACAAAATTTAAATATATAATCAATTAATTTAAACATTCGATACCTAAATAATACTACGTTTGGCTGATACTTTAAAAGTATAGCGTTTCTTTTGAATGTGAAACATATTTTAGTACTTATTTATTAATTTTTTTATTTCAATTTGATTGCAGATGTAATTTTTTTTAGAGATTTCCGATTAGGTTCGACGCAAAAGTAACCGAAACTTAAATCTTAATAATAAATATTCAAAACTTTTTCTCAGTATAGATTTTAATAAGGAGAGTAATTCTATAATATTCTTCGTAAATTGATATTCACTAGTATTCATAACAAATTTATTTTCACTATTGATATTCATAAAAAAAAAATTAGAATCTTGACTTTGTTCAGCGAAGTTCATGCGTCAGGATTGTTTAGTTTTTACAATCAAATAGATTAGTTTTTTTTTTTTTAAAAAAAAGAAAAAAAATCGACAGTAGAGCACAATGTTTTGCGTGTTATAACACTTGAAACCATGTGAAACATGCTTTGTAATATTTTTGAAACAATGCAATATTAAACGTTACAATTATTAAAATTTTTCATAAAGTGTTTGAGATCATTATGCTGGGAGGGAGCCTTCCTAAATTGTTGAAACTATGTTTTTGTTTTGCATTTAGATTTTTTTTTAAAAAATTATTTTTTCTATTTTTTTTATTTATTTATTAATTATTTTTTTTAAAGAATTCTGTTACTAACCAGTTTTTAAAGCCTAAAAATCCATGCTTCTTACTTACGCAAATAAAAGACTTTAAATTTTGAAAAAAAGCAAATAAGGCTGTAAGTAAACAAAATCTGGATAAGAACAATTTAAACAAAATGACATGGTATGAAATTATAGTAATTTTGTTCTGAATTATTTTTAAATAAAAATCTGTAGAATTTCTTATCCTTAAAATTTAAAATAATATTAGTCTCATTTAACAGCAACTTTTAAAATCAATTCAAACTTTATCTCTAAAATTAGAAAATGTTTGTCTGACAACAATTAGAAGGTTCACAGAACAATGAAAATGACTAAAATCGAAAAAATTTCAAATATTCACCGCCAAGTTCCTTAAGTGTGCCAACTCAATTACACAAAATGTTAACTACACCGGGGGGGGATTTTTTGTTGCATTTAAAGAAGTACTTGAACTTGTCAACCCCTTGTATATGGATTTTAAATCTGAAATTAGTTTTGCTTCTTAAGTTATAAAATTTTCTTAAAATGATATTTTTAGTCAAATTTTTGTCGAAATGTTTAAAAACGTTATATGTTACAGAAGATCTCATGAATATTGCGACAAAGTTTGAGGGGAGTTAGAGCACATCATCCAGTTCAAAATTGCATAGGAACCCTTACCCGTAAATGTCATTGTACTCCCCTTTAATGAACGGTTCAGAAGTACAAGAAGAAACAATTCATAATAATGAAGCGCCCCCTAGCGACGTATTATGACAAAGACATGTTTCATGCGCAGTTTTAATCCTGATGATACGTCTAAACTCTCCTAGAAGTTTATTGTAACATTTACGTGATCTACTGCTTTATATAGCGTTTCTACTTGTTCATTTTGACAAAAAATAGACTAAAAACGTTCTTAAAAAAACTGTAACTTGGGGAGAGAATCCGACTGCAGATTTGAAATCAGCGATACGAAAATATCTAAGATCAGTTAAAAAATTCTCATGCAACAGAAAGCAACGAAAAATTTGTCCCCCAGTGATATTAACACACTGTGCGTCATAAATATGTTAAGAAACTAAACATTCATAATTTTTTTGAACTCATCAAATACTATGATAACTTATTTTCTTTTAAAACAAATGCGACTTATGATATGATAAAAATTTACAAATTCATATTCTTGAATTTTTTTTTACAATATTAGATTAACTTACAAAAGTAAACTTAAAAGTGTCAAAGCATTTAATGGAAACTTTAAATAATGTACCATTAAAATTTAAATAAAATATGATTTTTATAAAATTTTTTTGATCCATCTTATATGATCTCCACCCAAGACATACTAAATGACGTATTATTTAAATTCCTTTCTTACTTTCAGACAGTATATTTAAAGGAATTGGAATTTCCTGCTGTGACTATTTGCAGCCGCTATTTAGTACCGCGTATCAATGCAAAAGAAGCGAAGTTGGAACATCTGGAAGAACTGACTGAACTCCTCGAGTCTGATGACATGCCTGTAAAAGAGTAAACAATTTTTTTTAAATATTTTTACTATTTTACATTTTTACTTTTTATTGCAATACCGAACAGAATATTGTAAATCAATGAGTTTGACTTAAGTTGAATGGGGTGGTCAGAAAGTTTTCATACAGTATCAAGCAAAATGTTGCGTATCGTATTTTTTAAAATATTATAATTTTATTTACAACGAAACAAATAAAAATTTTTTCCGTATTTAAAAATCGTAAGTCATCCGTTTCTGTTTTTTGGTGCTAACTTTACGTTACATTTTGATTTGCTGTGCGAATGATAAGATATATTTCTATATCGTTACATTTTGTTTTGCTGTGCGAAAGATAAGATATATTTCTATATCGTTACATTTCGTTTTGCTGTGCGAATGATAAGATATATTTCTATATTATTACATTTTGGTTTGCTGTGCGAATGATAAGATATATTTCTATATCGTTACATTTCGTTTTGCTGTGCAAATAATAAAATATACTTCTATATCATTATATTTTGGCTTGCTGTGTGAATGATAAGATATATTTCTATATCGTTACATTTCACTTTGCTGTGCGAATGATAAAAGGAATTTATGTATCGTTACATTTTGTTTTGCTGTGTAAACGATAAAATGTATTTATATATTGTTATATTTTAATTGCTAATTTTATATTTTAAGTTACAGTTTAATAACTAAACTCCGTGCAAAAATTGTGGAGGACTTCGTGGAGGACTTTTTGATGGAACTAACCAGCATTTACGTTACATTGAAAAGAAAACCACGAAAACCTCCTATGGTTAGCCTGACGTCAAGGGGACTCTAACCCATGACCCGTCTATCACTGAGGATATTTTACGTCAGCACTGTGCTCGGTGCAAGCCGGATACGGATTTCGTATCGACCAGCCATTGCTGGGATTCGAACCCGGTTCACCTCATTGGAAGGCGAATGCTCTATCACTTGAGACATCACGGCTTATATGTCTTGAATTGATATTTCTCACAATAGGTAGATTGGAATGTTATTAGGTTATTTCAGAACAAAATGTTTCTCATCTCTGTCAACCGTTTCCACTCACCGTTAACGCTCAAGCGTTTTCCTGAACAAAATGTTTCCAATACAAAACGAATGTTGGAGACGACAACCTCCTCTCCAACTTATTCTTCTCTGTCCTTTTATGTTTCGTGACAAGCGATATTCCGTGCATTTTTGTTATTCTAAAAGCTTTGCATTAATTTACATAGGTTTCTAATGCTTCATAAAATTCTATGTCATAAATTTACTAGACACTAGAATTTTTATTCCACACATATGTTGCGATATAAATCCAGTATGAGATCATGTTGGACCATCCTTACTGGAGACCATGTAAACATAAATTTAGCAGGATTTCATACTGAAATATAAATTAATACTGATAAATATTTTTCAGAGTATCATCAAGGTTGAGACATGGTTGTGCTAGAGATCTTTTGTGCAGATGGAACAGGATTCATAAATTTATTAGACGCTAGAGTTTTTATTCCACACATATGTTGCGATATAAGTGCAGTATGAGACCATGTTGGACCATCCTTACTGGAGACCATGTAAACATAAATTTAGCAGGATTTCATACTGAAATCTATATTATATAAAACGCTAATACGTACGTATGTATGTATGTATCAATAAAACCGATGATATTTCTTTTCTCTCGCTGGCAACAGTTTTCATTTTTAATTGATTGGATTCGGCGCGCAAGAGCACGTAGTGAGCAACCAGATAACAATAACCAGAGTGAGCATTATCAGGTTGTTCAATTCAGATTCATGCACTAAAAACATGACANAACGCTCAAGCGTTTTCCTGAACAAAATGTTTCCAATACAAAACGAATGTTGGAGACGACAACCTCCTCTCCAACTTATTCTTCTCTGTCCTTTTATGTTTCGTGACAAGCGATATTCCGTGCATTTTTGTTATTCTAAAAGCTTTCCATTCATTTACATAGATTTCTAATGCTTCATAAAATTCTATGTCATAAATTTATTAGACACTAAAATTTTTATTCCACACATATGTTGCGATATAAATCCAGTATGAGACCATGTTGGACCATCCTTACAGAACACCATGTAAACATAAATTTAGCAGGATTTCTTATTGAAATATAAATTAATACTGATAAATATTTTTCAGAGTATCATCAAGGTTGAGATATGGTTGTGCTAGAGATCCTTTGTGTAGATGGAACAGGATTTTCGAGGAATGTCAATGCATAAAGAATCCTTGTTTATCACCACTTTGCATTTCGTACAATAGAACGGTTTGTAGCTGTTCAGAATATCTCTGCTTATGGAATCAGACCAAAGTACCAGGAGGTTGTCGAAACTTCAGAAATGATACCCATAATCTATGCTTATGCAATCGTAGTTTAAAATATTCTTATTTTAACGGTATGCACTGTTCTTTTTAATAGTATTTTGAGTCACTGTAATTTATAAAAACCTGTTGTTTTTTTTTTAAATAAACTATTTCTTACCTTTCTATCTTATTAACAGGGCCTTTTCTTTTAAATAAGGAACAAAGTTTCAGACAAGAATTTTAAAAATGGGCGAATGCGTAAAAATTTTTTTTCCCTGCTAAACACATCTTTGTATAACCTTAAATCGTCTGTAGCTGCTCAGCATACCCTTGCTTATGTAGATTACACAAGAGCTTATTGAAATTTCAAAAATAATGTACATGATAATCGCAATCGTTGTTTAAAATATTCTCCTTTTAACTGTTTCCATTAGACATTATTTGCATTTTTATCATTATTTTGAATTATAACAGTATAAAATAATTGTTTAAAGTTTAATTTTTCATTTTCATATTTTGAGGAATTTTTGTTGATCTAAATATGCAGTCATACAACCCATCATTGCAGAATTTATTTTTTTATAGATATTTTTTATGACAACTCTTATTATTATTCCTATTATTATTATACGTCATGATATTAAATGATTTTGATTCGACTGAATTAAATGATATTTTTCTATAGATTTGTTTAAAAATATTTGTTTTACGGTGGAAGGATTTTGAAAGACATCACTGTTTTTAATAAGAAACTTAAATTGCATTTCAGATGAAAACATCGAAATAAATTTCATTCAGTCAGTTCCCTGAGTTGGAGTTTTTGGAGATGATCTCACGACACCGTTCGAAAATACACAAATAAGTTTAATCAGTTTCAATCTTAAGAAAATAGTTATTTCATCCTTCTCTTTTTGTTATCAACAAATGATTTTACGTTAATTAAATATTTTTTGAAAACAAACTTTTCATTTTCGTACAAAATATTTTCAAACGCTGCAATGGCAGTATTTTTTATTGTAATTCTTTCATCAAAATAATAATTCATATGAAATATACCATAAGAAAATGAAAATATAATTGGTGCATTTAAAACCGAATGTCGAACCAGATTCAGTAAAAATGTTCTTTTAAGTTTTAATAACGATGAATTGTATTTTCTTATTTTTTAAGATCCTAATTGTATTCGTAGTTTGATTTGTTGTTGTAGTTGGTTTTCAAGATAGAATTATTTAAAATATTGATGAAATTATTGCTACTAAATAAGGGATAATGACGTCACGTGAAATGAATTGGCTCATTTGAAAAATCAACCGTCAAATAATTGTTTATTTTTCAAAAGTTGAATGAATTTGGAGCTTTCTCCTAAAGCACCATATAGCGGACCAGACTCATTTGAGCTATTATATGAAGCTTTCTTCACTTTTTCTTTTAAATAGTGAAGCATATGCAACATAAATAATTTTCTTCAAGAAGGATAATCATGATTTTTTACAAATTCTATGTAGAAATAGTTTTGAAATCGAAAAAAAAAAATATTTTGATGAGGAACAGCAACTTGTAAAAGTGCGCGTTAAAAACCGCAAATGTCTTGTAAGATCTCGAAATTACAGATGCTCCTCCAGACACTACCTTCTTGCTAGTAATTACGCGTAAAAATGGATTTCTACTTTTGACTGCAACATATAAATGAACTTTTCATAAATATGTATAGCGTAACAAAGAAAGTATAACTAATTGTTGTTAATATTCCTATTTTTATTTCATTCTTTCAAAGGATATTCCAATTCAAGGGAATACAACGAATCTCATTTCACGAACAGTTCCCAGAAGCTACTTGAGTTAATGAGAATCTTGAAAAATTCCAAATCAAGTGATTTATCAGATCAGCAGTTCAATATTGTTCCAGAACCCAAGATTCTTGACGACTATGGAATTTCTTATGATACTATAATCCTGTCGTGCAGGTTCGCTGGGAGAAGATGCAATATACAGTTAGTAATATATGCATTGATTTTGCACCATATTACTACAATTTTCAACATTTCCTGTATCTGAAACTTATATAGAAACTGGGTTCGTTGTTTTAAAGCTCGATTCAAAACAACTGATACAAAAAGAAATAATTGATTAAAAAATTTACAAAGCTTTTTAAAATGTAAAATTTTTTTATTTCTTTTTAAAATTTTGAAATTCAGAGTAAGAATATTGCTGGGTTAATAAGTTCAAATTATCAGAATTACATTAGTAATTGGTGTGCAAAAAATTACAGCACTTTTGAAATAACATTGTAAAAATTGAATAATTCTTTTTAATTTTTCAGAATGCAAACAGAGGGAAAATTTAAAGCAGCATTTTTTTTTAATATTTAAGCACCTATTGTAAAATGTAGTAATTGAATATGTAGTATGTAAATATGTAGCAATTAAATATGTAGTATGTAAATATGTAGTAATTAAATATGTAGTAATTATGTATGTAGTAATTATGCATATAGTAATTAAATATGTAGCAATTAAAAACGCAGTAATAAAACCACCATTTCCTAATTTTAACCTAGGTTTTATAAAATGAAAATTGAATAAATTTGAACTCAGTCTTCAAGCCCACATATATTAATAATATACATTTCTGAATCTTTATATATCTAATATTAAAAGAAATCTTCTTAATATACTATAAAAGTTGTTTAAAAATACATATATTTGTTTTTTTAATATAGAGTGATTTCTGTTAATAAATGGTTAAGTTATTCTGTATAGAAATATTTGTCAACCTGCAGCAAAGGTAAGGTATAAGGCTCCACAATGTATTTTGTTATTTCAAAAGTTTAAAAAGAAAAATGGATGTATGACATAAATTTTATGATTTGCTTATTTAGGCCTACTTTTTAGTAAATGATGCATTTTTATTCCATTTTCAATTATTTGAATATATTTTGTGTTACTATAAATTTTTTTCTACAGTAATATGGTTTGAAATAGATTGTGATGGTTAATTTTTAATAGAATTCTAATTATGTTTATAAAATTTAACTCATTATAAGTTTTTAGAGTATCTTTAATAAAGAAAACCTGATTTAATCAAATAAAAAACATATTTTAATGAAATAAAATGATTTTTTTAAAAAAAAAAGCATTAAAAAAAACATAAACCCTGTTTAGAAGAAATGATACAAGATTTTTTTACATGCTATATAAATATAAATTCATCTTCTTACTGAGATTTTTAAATTTTAGAAAGTCCAATGGAATCTCTAGAACTCATAATATTTTTATGATTGCAATTTAAAAATAAATTTCCCAAATGCATATAAGTTTAACTGCGCTCTGAGAATAAATATTTTTTATCCTTTAATGAAAATAAAAGAATGACAAGTTATTTTTCTTATAGTACGTTAAAGTCGTTAAATTTTTTGATTGTTATTTAGTATATTTTGAAAGATCACAATCTTCTTTTTAAAATACAGATATTTTTATATTCATGTAAAATTTGTTCCATGCAAATTCTGTTCTATCAATAGATAGAGGAAGAAGTTAGGAACATGCGAATTTTCTTTCAATGAGAATAAATCATTAAGTTTTTTTTCTTCTTTTTTTGATAAAAATAAGCACATGAATATAAGGATATTTTATACTCATTTGTTGAAGTTATACTCAACAATTTTTACTGTTAGTATCTGTATAAACACAAATGATTTTGACATTTCAGCTATTTTTGTTATATTTTCATTAAAATTCAATGTAATCGATGCTACACAAAGTAACAATCTTAAACAAAATCAAAAACTCAAAGCTAAAAAATGGTGTTCCATTATTATTCTATGATATTACCTTAAACATGTTGAATTACTCTTTCACAGTAATTAAGCGGTTATTAATTTTTCGTGAAACTGTCCATTCAACATATATTAAAATAATGAATACAAAAGTTTTTGAGCTAACTTTATATACGTTGCAAAGATGTAGAAGATGTGGAAAAACCGTATAATTTACAATTGTCCGTATAATTGCAGAATTTTTCTTTTTTCCGAAAAATGTCTTCATTAAACATATATAAACTTATCTTTACGCTTTTTCTCATTAAACCTAAAACTTCTTTTTCAATTTTACGCAGTTCAATTTAACCTAGTTCAATTTTTCGAGAACCCTAATTTTGTAAAATAGCCATAGGCCTCATTGAAGTTGACCGTAACTTTGAATCAGAATTTACAGTCAACTTATGTATTAATGACTATTGTGTATTAAATAATATCCCAGGAATGAGAAATCAATCTATCTGTAAAACAGAGAATGCTACATACAAAGAAAGCTTTAAAGAATATTTTAACCAGGACTTGATCGCATTCTTAGATTCAGAAGCATTGTCTCTGAGTGATTTCCAGAACTCATAAGAGAAACAAAATGCTACAAAACAAGCATACAATATGTAAGTGCCGTTTCCTGTTGATCCAAATAAAATAAAAAATAACAACAACAGCAAAGATAAAGTTTGTTCACATAATTTTAAAAATATTTCAGCATAATTTACATGATCTTGTTACTATCATACTATGATTGACATTTTTATTTTCAGGAGAGATATAACAACAATATATAGTCCAACATTTGGGAAATGCTACATGTTTAACTACTACCCACCTACCGACAATGAGAAAGATGGCAAACCTAAAATAGTTAAGCAAACTGGAAGGTTACCTGGTGATAATCATTATCTCATTAAATTAACTGTTTTAAAATAATACATGTATTCTGTGGTTTATATGTACAGTCAAAAGAAAAAAAGCGAACACCCGGAGTAACTTTAAATCTAATGCTCTATTAGTATGCAAGGGCACAATCATAATGATTCATTTTCTTAAAAATGCTAAATAATTTGTGCTGGTAATATTTTGAGTTATAAAATAAGACACATAAAACGTACTTTATTTGAAGAAACATGCCTTTAAATTAACATTTTTACCGAGGTTTTTAGATTATTAGTCTTCAAAATATAGGTGAGGGGGATACTTGCAAATAGAGTCCATAGTTCAAGCAAGAATTGTCGAAAATTTTGGGCTATTAATGTTATTTTTTCTTTTTGAGTATTTCGCCACACCTTGTAAACTTTTTATGTGAATAGAAATTTTCTTTCTACTTAACTATAGAGTTTTTTTTTTCAAATAACACTACCTACAAAAATAATTTTTAATATTTTCTGCTTCTTATTATTCTATTTAATAAAATTTTCACACCATTTTTAAACTATGTAATTTTAAATTGAAAAATACCGAATTTGGACGAAATCAGTTGAACAGTGTTGAAAGGAAATTTTAAAAATACGAATTTCATGACTCAGAAACTGTTTATGGAACAAACTGTAACTTTATTTGCTAACTTCTTGAAATACAGGGTGTCAATAAAGTTCCGGACTCATTTTGATGTCTAATAACTCATAAAATAATAAAGATAGATTAAAATTAATAACATAAATGGTAAGATAGACTCAAAAAGTTTCATGACCCTTGTCAATGAACTTCCACGTGTGCCCCCTTCGTCGCACGGAGAATATCAAGTCGATAGTAATTTCACTCCAGGTAGCTGTAGTATTTTCTGAAGAGCATAATGCTCTCCGACGAAGCATCCTTTCATGTTTCTGGCATTGTTAATCACCATAATGTGCGCATATGGGGATCTGAAAACCCCCATGAATACCGTGAGACACAAAGGGATTCCCCAAAGGTTAATGTGTGGTGTAGACTAATGCACCACCGAGACATTGGGCCTTTCTTTTTTACAGAAAAGACGGTCTCATCAGTCGTATATTTAGACACGTTGGAAAACTTATTCGTGTTTCCATAACTAGAAGAGCTTCAGCCACATGTCTTTTTGCAACAAGATGGCGCACCACCGCATTGGGGTATCATCGTTCGTAGTTCTTTGAATGACCATTTTCCAGGAAGATGGATTGGGCGAGGAGGTCCAATTCCTTGGCCACCCAGATCACCTGATATAACGCCGCTGGACTTTTTTCTTTGGGGATTTATAAGAGACAATGTTTAAAGGAGGATCGTGTCGAACATTGATGACCTAAAAGTCAGAGTTACAACCGCAATAGCCTCTGTGGATGCCTACATGCTTGCCGCTACCTGGCGTGAAATTAACTATCGACTTGATATTCTCCGGTGTGAAGAAGGGGGCACACGTGGAAGTTCATTGACAAGGGTCATGAAACTTTTTGAGTCTATCTAACCATTTATGTTATTAATTTTAATCTATCTTTATTATTTTATGAGTTATTAA